GCTATTCCATACGCGGCTGACTGGGATTGTAACACCAGCAAATTCCGTTGCTGCATCAGCAAAGAAACATTCAGCAATTAAAGTTTGCTGGCACAGCTAGAAATATTGTAGGCGCTATGTTAGCAGCCAAAAATTGCTACCGCAGCAATAAAACTGCTGTGGCAGCAAATCTTTTCTCTCCGTGTATAAACAGAAGGGGGTACGCAGCTTTAAACACCGCCCCGCCCTCGCTCGCCCTATACACTGGAGAAAAGCAAAATCAATGTAAAATTTTCAAACAAAAAAATCTCAACACAAAGAAGTGGCTTAAAAATGGCACACACTTGATACATGTAACCGCATTCTACAACACACTACACCGCCGTACAGATTGTCTGAAATTTCGCTCACCTCCCGACAGGCGCGAGTACCCGGCCGCCGCCCCTCCGCCCGCGCACGAGCACACCGGACACGCGTTACCACAACAACTGTCGCGCGCGCGCCGCATATCTTTACATCGCATTTTAATAACAACCTCAATAATCGACATTCGTCATGTCGCACGCGCCCCGCGATAAATCGTCCAAAGTGCGCGTTACATGGAGTGTCCGGCCGTGTCCGGCGAAAGACACGTCCTCGCGCCAGGCCATCGTAGCCACGAAGGGGCCGATCACAAACCCTTCCGCCTCTTTTCGTCCTTGGTTTTCTCACGTTCCATTACTGAAACATTTTGCGTCTGAGATGTTCTTAAAATCTGATCGTTCTCGCTGCTGCCTAGAAGGCAGAGAATTTCCCCTATGTTTGAAAAGTAGCAAGTAGAGGAAGAAAACGAAAAAATAAGTTCCTCTCACAATACCGTGTTAGCACGTTTGACAGCAGGGCCGTCACCTCTAAGTGGCCAAATTCAAAGTTCTTAACGCCTCATGGCTTGTGACCGGCCCCCTATGGCACGCCAGCGCGCACCGGCTACGGCGGCGGGGCGGGGCGTGGCGTGGCAGTCTGCAGAGCACAGAGACATAGGCAGAGACATCATAATCGGCGGTGGGATTCCACACACAGGCGGTACACAGTAATAATTATAACAATAGCCAATCTTGCCCGATTTGGTCAGCAGAGTGGTCACTTTTAGCGCGACGAAACATAGAACCGCCGGTGCTCATCTGCATAATGTGAAGCGCCACCAGCAGGCGCCAGCAGGCGGAGGCTAATGAGAAGCTGAGCACACGTCTATATGGCTC